AGGAGTTCCATCCACCTTCTCTGACGCATGTTGAGATCCTTCTGGGTGAAGATGTGCTTCAAACTCTTATGATCGGTGTAGATCTGAAAGGTCTCTCCATACAAATAATGGCGCCAGGTTTTTAAGGCGTGTATGATTGCGGCAAGCTCCAAGTCATGGGTAGGGTAGTTCTTCTCATGATTCTTTAGCTGTCTAGACCCATATGCTATAACCTTTCCATGTTGCATCAGGACACAACCTAGGCCCAGATAGGAGGCATCACTGTAAACTGTGTACCCTCCTGATCCACTCGGTAGAGCCAGGACGGGTGCAGTAGTCAGCCGCTTCTTCAATTCTGAAAAACTCCTTTCGCAGTTCTCATTCCACTCAAACTTTGCATTCTTCTTTGTGAGTCGGGTTAGAGGAGCTGCTAAACTAGAGAACCCTTCGACAAACCGGCGGTAATAACCTGCCATCCCCAGGAAACTGCGAATTTCCTTAACTGTTGTCAGCCTTTCCCAACTAAGTACCGCTTCAACCTTTTCGGGGTTCACTGACACCCCTTCCTTCGATATAACATGTCCTAGGAAGGCGGTTTGCTCGAGCCAAAATCCACACTTACTCAACTTTGCATACAACTTCTTTTTCCTGAGTACCTGTAGGACTTGGGCAAGATGATGAGCATGTTCTTCTCTACTTTTTGAGTAGACTAAGATATCATCGATGAACACGATGACAAATTGATCCAAGAACTCTCTGAAGATCCTGTTCATTAGATCCATAAAGATGGCCGGGGCGTTGGTTAGCCCAAACGGCATAACCAGGAACTCATAGTGTCCGTACCTGGGTTCGGAATGCCGTCTTGGGGATGTCTTCTGCTCTCACTTTTACCTGATGGTAACCTGATCGTAGATCTATTTTAGAAAAGACCTGTGCACCCTGCAACTGATCGAAAAGGTCATCAATCCGGGGAAGAGGGTACTTGTTCTTAATTGTTACCTTGTTTATCCTTCTGTAATCAATGCACAGTCTCAACGTTCCATCTCCCTTCTTTGCAAAAGTAACCCCGGCACCCCGTGGGGAAACGCTATGTCTAATGAAACCACTGTTTTGTAGCTCAGTGATCTGTTTCCTTAGTTCTTCCATCTCGATGCGGCTCATTCGGTAAGGAGCTACCGAGATGGGCTGGGTTTCTGGCTGTAAGTCTATGGTGAACTCGACCTCTCTGTCCACTGGTAGACCGGGCAGTTCATCCGGAAATACGTCTGGAAAGTCTCGGACTACTGGAATCTCTTGGATACAAACTTCTTTCTTGGGTTTACCTAGTTAGAGAAAATACAAGATTAAGGCACTGGGAATTAAGAAAAAACTTGCCATTAGGGGAAATCAGTACTGAATAATTTTATTAACTTGTAAATGGCTCCTCGTTGGGAGGATTAAATATAATCTTTTTGTTAAAGCAGTCTATGGTGGCATGATACGCCGCTAGCCAATCCATTCCTAGGATTACATCAAAATCCCCCGTGTCTAACCCTATCAGGTCTACCCTCAATTTTCTATCTGCTATCTCCACGGCACATGCCCTGTAGACAACCTCTCCTAACAATGTCTCCCCCCCAGCGGTAGATACAAGCAATAATGAATCAAGTCTATCAGTGATACACAAATTTTGGAAGCAAGAACATGTGAAATAAAAGAATGTGATGCACCAGTATCAAACAAAACATGAGCAATGTGGCCAGAGATAGTATACATACCATGTACCACGTCCCGGGTCTGCGTCGGCATCCTTCTGGGGTAAGGTTGTAAACTCTGCCCTGGATGGGAGGCCTCCCTTGATTCTGGTTCGTAGGGCACTCCCTCGCATAGTGCTGGGCACTGCCGCATATGCGACAGGTGTTGTTGAGGCGGTAGCAGGGTCGGTCCCCATGATCCCTGCCGCAGTACTGGCAGATCTTCCCACGTGCTGCCGCCATAGCCTGAGGAGGGCCCTGAACGGCAGGCCTGGGTCTCTTACTGGGTTGGACAGGCATGGTAGGCGCTGGCCTGCGGAACGGGGCTGAAGGTCGGGAACTTCCCGCTAGCTGAGGGCGGGTGTCGAAGCTCCTTTCTATGATCTGCGCCTTTGCCAGGACTGCCGAATATGTCTCGAGCTCCATCACCAACAAGTGCTGTCTGATCGCTGGGCGGAGGCCCCACTGGAATTTCCTGGCCTTTCGGCCCTCATCCAACAATGTCTCCGGGGCATGTCGGCCCAGCTCCAGGAACTTGCGGGCATACTCCGACACTGTCATATTACCTTGGACCAATTGAGCAAATTCCATTTCCTTTAAATGTTGGATGTGTTTAGGGAGATACTCCGCATGGAAGGCCGCTAGGAACTGCTCCCAAGTAGCTAGTGTAGGCAGGGTGGCCCGCTTGAGCTCCCACCAACGTACTGCCTCACCTACCAGCATGTAGGAGGCAATGGCAGCCCTCTGCTCAGTAACTACTCCCAAGGTCTCGAAAGCTCTCTCAGTCTCTGCCAGCCAGTATTGGGCCTCTTCGAAAGAGGATCCCCCTGAAAAAGTAGAAGGGTTCAGCCTTCTGTACCTCTCTATGAAGCCGGGGTCGATCAAGGAAGGAGCGGGGTCCTGAGGTAGAGGGACTGGGGCCGGCTGAGGGTGAACTGGGGGACCCTGTGGTGGCACCTGCGGATGTGGTGGGGGCACTGGAATGTGCTGTGGCGGCACCTGCTGGTACCGTGGCTGTGGTACCGGGTCGTACCGCGGCTGTGGTGCCGGGTGGTACTGTGGAGGAACAGGCTCCTGCCGGGGTGGCTCGTGATCAGCCTGCTGGAGCGGGGGCTCAACCTGCGCTAGCGAAGGAGGTCCGGGTAACTCCCTTCTCTCCTCTTGCCTTTGCTGGGCAGCTACGAGAGCCTCCACCATCTCAAATAGTCTGTCTAAATCCTCCCGAAGCGAATTATCTTGGGCCGCTCGGTTTAGTGGGGGCCTTCCTCTCCTCATTCCCGTGTACCTGCATTCACAAGGAATGATTGAGTAACGATATATAGGTGAGTATTATTCTTAAGGCACTATTGTGTAAGGGATGGGTCCGAGGAAACCTGGCTCTAATACCAATTGTAACGGCCCCAGAAATTTAAAATGAAATGTATATTAAAAATATCAAATGCGGAAGCGAAGTCAAAAATTTGATTAACATCCCTTACACTAAAACAAAAAACGTGCTCACAAAATATAAAAGATCAAACTACCTAAAGGAGAAACTTGAAAGTAAAAGCTACGAATATGACTATGGAGTCTTTAGGCGTCCCCTTCGTCGTCCTCCTGCGGAACTGGCTCGGGAACAATGTCTTACTGATCTGAAATGATTAAATAAGGAATGAGCTACACTAGCCCAGTAAAGACATCACGATATCTCACCGTCACGGAGGTAAAAGTGGGTAGAAAACACAAAAAGACCAATGGAGCATAATTTACAACAAATTCTTTTATCAATAATAAATTCTTCACCATCCACCTACCTCGGTGAAATTCATAAAATAGTATACGAAAGCAATAACATTATCATCATCATGAAATCATATATAAACTGTATAACATAATACTTATCAAGCCTTTCGTAATTCAATCGTTACACAACATATTTTTCTCATTTACCAACCCACTAGTATCCATGGGAATCCATAGGGGTCCCGCTACCCGTTAACCCTTAACACTTGAAATCATATTCAGGGCTGTCCCCATACCCCGTCCGGTATGGGCGCCAAAACTATAAACCTCATTACCCCATCTGGTATGAGGGTGAAACAGGCCGTCCCCATACCCCGTCCGGTATGGGCGCCAAAACACATAAGATCTCCATACCCCGTCCGGTATGGGAGACCACAATCCCGGTAGGGTTCCCTACGGACCCGGTCCGTCCACCATCTCCCAGGATATCTAGTCAGCCTGACTACATTATACAATTACCCATTTACATAATCTTTCATCATCCTTTCCCTCAGTCAGCATTATCAATCCACATACAAACAAGCAAAACGGTAATTTATGCCAAACAGACAACATACAGCATCAATATCCCAGTCATTCAATCCATAATCAGTAAAACAGTAAAATATGCACACGAAACTATAAAATGAAAACATCCAACCTCATACTGCATTTAAAACTGTAAAACAGGCCAAATAACAGTTAACCGACAAACACACTAGACTCGGGCTCCATTAGCGACCTTAAGCAATTTCACACATTCGTTGATTCATGAAATACCGTTTTATCATTTATTGAACTTTAATACCGTGATAGGAAATAGGGTGAGGGGTCCTTACTCGTTTCGGGATCTGAACACGGCTTTACGGTGCGCCTACAGCTGTCCCTAATTTTCCCTGAATTTTTTTCGGGGAACTGAAACGCACTACTGGTACCTGCACGTGTTCCAAAAAAATCCCAAATTAGGCCCAGGGCCCCTTTTTGGCCAATATCGCAATTCCGGCACGGCGCCACCGCCGCTTGCGGCGGCGATTCACCTCGGTTTAGCCGTTTTCGGCCGAATTCGACCACACTTGCATCGATTCTTGCGATAAAACAACCCTAGGGCCCTTGGGGGGGCCAAAAAATTACGAAAAACCGAAGCTTACTGGCGGCGGTGCTCTCGGGTGCGGCGGCTCTCTGGTGAAGTTCGTGTTTTGGTGATTCAGCTCGGATCAACCTGTAGAGAAAAGAATGATGATCACGGTGATATAAAAATTGCATCAAACGGAGGCCGGAAAGGGCCTCATCGGAGGCAAAAACCGAGAAGGGGCGCGGCGGCGCCGCTGGATTTCGGCCGTATTTTCCGGCCGTTTGACCGGGATTTTGGCTCCGATTTGGCCACAGGAGAAATCAGCGTGGAAAAACGAGTCGGGGGTATGAAATTTACCTCGATCGGCGGTCGGAAATCTTCCCGGTGCGGCGGCGGCCGGCGTCTCCGCCGTCTGTTTCATCTTCTCCGGCGAGGGCAGACGGCTAGGGTTTTTGTGGTATGGTGTGGGGGTTCTATTTATACCCTTTTGCCTTTTGATCTCAGCCGTCCATTTTGTTTTAATCTGGGCCGTCCGTTTTTTGATTAAATCTGGGTCGTCCGTGCGATTTCATCTGGGCCGTCCGTACGCCCGCTTGATCTGGGCCGTCCGATAGCGCGTACACGGATCGCCAACGTGGTCCGTCCCTGGTCGACGTGGTTTTGCCACGTGGCAGGTCCTAGTTGGCCGGGACTGCTGACTGGGTCTACTGACGTGGCTGCTGACGTGGCTTTTTTTTTTTTTCTCTTCCAATTCCTGGGCGTTACACGAACTCCTTCAAAAGCTAGTAAAGGTCTTCCTAAAATGCTTAGTTGTCTACTTTTCGTTTATTTCTTTAATTTTCGTTTATTCTTTTAGAAAGAACATTCTCATAACCCTATTGGGTATTTAAAACTATTATATAATGTAAACTTTAACTCTATTATTCCATTTTGGCATTCAATTTATAATTTTATTTCGTTTTAAATTTCGGGCCACTACATGTGGTATTCAGTTTAAAAATCTTTGTCCAAAATTTTCAGTCCATTATGGTTTGTGTTCGTTCCAATTTAATCCGAACCAATTAATATTTTTTAACATTTAAAATTATAAATATATAAATATTTATATTTTAAAAAATAACTTTTTAAGCAAATTTTGGTCCATTTTAATTTAAGAACATATCAAACTTGGTCTCATCGAGTCTGATTCTAGAATGATGCTCACCTATACTTCAAGTTTAAATTCTTCTCCTTTAAATTCTTCTTTTTCATTAATAACAACTAATTCATAAGTTATAACGTTCAATTTTATCATTTCTCTTTATCTTTCTTGAATAGTAATTAAAGAAAAAACGGTTTTCAAGTCCTATGTTTCATTTATATATTCCATAGTAAACTTGATGAGGAATTTTGACTGAATTAAGGAAAGTTCTATAATGGGATTTTCAAAGTAATTGCAAATATTTTGAGAGTTTTATTTTTTATTTTTTACGATAACTTTACTTATTTTTAAGCAATAAATTACTTGTTTGGTAAGTAATACATCTTCGTCTATCCACCTCCTTCCCAATTAATAATATTTGGTTCACACACATGCTTATAATGCTAAAATATATAGACTTGTAAATCCTTCTATTTGGTAATGTAATTATTATTTTTCAATAATGTTATAATTTAATTATTTAGACAATTTATAACTTCTCTGTCCGTTATCTAAATTTTTTTTTTAATAATTCTTAAGTCTTTTTTATATAAAAAAAAAATATTCTATATCAATTTCTTTATCAGAACTAAAAAATTTACTAATTTTAAATTATATATTAAAAAAATAAGAATTAAAATGTAACTTATAAGTCAACGTTTATTTATAAAAAAAAAAATGAATGACGATTTTAAATTAATTTCTATATTAACTTTTTAATTTCATTGGTTAATTTTAAAAAAATAAAAACTGTAATTATAACTCCCATTATGTAGATATCCACATTTAAATATTGTTGAAGCATATTAATGGACAAAAATCCAAAACCACCTAAGCAATGAGTGCTGAGCAAAGGCACAAAAAGACTAGTAATGAATGATTCATGGTTTTACCAGCTCATTTTTAGGGAGCTTTTTGGCGTTCTCTCTTTCTGCTTCAAACAGATCAAACTTTACACTCCTCAACTTAATTTATAAGCACTTTTCTTGACTACTTGAAAATCACCGGACACGATAAATAAATCGTAGAAGTTGTGTTTCATCGTTGTCCATGGAAATGAGACGATTGAGTAGCGCAAGACCGATTTTGGCTGTGATTTTCATGCAGTGCAGCTATGCAGCCATGTCGATTGTCGCAAAATTTGCTCTCGATCAAGGCATGAGTCCTCATGTCTTGGTTGCTTACCGAATGGCAGTTGCTGCTCTTCTAATCGCCCCATTTGTTATCATTTTCGAAAGGTTTAATTTTCCTCCTTCCCCTTTTTCCTTGTTTTCGTGTATTTTTTTTTTTAATCTCAATAATAGAATTTAATACCCTATAACGTTTCAAGTATAACCACTATTAGTTTAAAAACAAAGCGGGTCAAATTTGATGTGCTTGATATGTTTATCGGACAGGAAAACAAGACCAAGAATGACATTTCCGATCTTTGCTAAAATTTTCTTACTCGGACTATTGGAGTAAGAAATCTCAAATATGTTATAATGCAAATTACTCCTTATCTCTATTAAGATGATGATTAATTGTTAATTAATCAAGTAATTAACCTTTATTAATATAGGCCTGTGATGGACCAGAACTTGTTCTACACAGGAATGAAGCACACAACAGCAACGTTCATATCTGCAATGTGCAACATTCTTCCTGCCATGACATTTCTGCTGGCTTGCATCTGCAGGTAAGTCCTTACACATATACATACATATATATATATATACACATACAAGCTTACAAACCTGTGTGATGTATAAGTTCAATTTGGGAAATATAAGGCTTGAGAAGGTGAAAATCAAGAAGCTGCATAGCCAGGCCAAAGTAATGGGGACTCTGGTTGCTGTTGGAGGAGCAATGATGATGACCCTGGTTAAAGGACCTGCAATTCCAATGCCATGGACAGGAGTTAAAATCTTCCATCATCATCAATCTCCAACAGATGTTACCAAACAAGATCTCATCAAGGGTGCTGCCATGATTGTAGTTGGCTGTTTCAGCTGGTCTTGCTTCATTATTTTGCAAGTAAAGATTTTTTTATTTTGGGTAATTAATTTTCCATTTTGGGTAATCAAATCTCTAATTACCCACATAAATTAACATGGGTAATTTTGAATTTTGTAGGCAGTAACATTAAAATCATACCCAGCTGAATTATCACTCACTTGTCTGGTGTGCCTAATCGGATCAGTGCAGTGCATTATACTGACTCTTGTATTGGAGAGAAAAGATCCAAAAGTATGGTTAATTTGTTTTGACGTTAAGCTTCTTGCAGCTATTTATGGAGTAAGTCATTTTATTATAAAATTATTTGGAATTAAATATAAAAATGTATGATAAAATTATGTATTTAAAATTTATATTTGAAATTAAAAAGAAAAGAAAAGAAAAAGAAATTTGAAGGTGTTGTAAATGCAGGGATTAGTGTCTGGATTGGCATATTATATAATGGGATGGGTGATGAAGAAGAGAGGTCCTGTTTTTGTGAGTTCATTTAATCCTCTAAACATGGTCATTGTAGCAATTTTGAGCTCCTTTGTTCTCTCTGAACAAATGCGCCTTGGAAGGTATGTATATATGTAAATATATATATATATATATATATTTAATCAAGAAATTTCCTTATATATATATGGTTGGTTGATTTTGCATTATTCACGTTGATTAATTAGTTATAATTGTGCATCCAAAATAATTTCCTTTATTTTACTTTTTTTGTATTTTGGAAAACTTATGGAGAACATCTTTAGATCAAATTTAAAAATTTATTTGTAATTCATACTTAATCCAACTAAAACTTTATATACATACTCAAAAATAACATAATTTCTTCTTAATACCCAAATGAAGGAATTGTAAAAAAGTTCATACTTTTAAATGGGTCATGTTCGTGTCATTCTTTAGTTAAGAACCAACTGTTTGCTTTTTCCCTTCATAAGTAATAATCCACATTCAAACCATTCTCTTCTTTAAGCCATTTACATATCAAGTGGTCCTTGCACTCCTCTACTTTTATGAGCAAGCATATATGTACATGTGTATGTGTATGTGTATGTTGATGTGTGTGTATATGTATATATGCAGGGTAATTGGGGCACTAGTGATTGTTGTAGGGCTGTACCTTATTTTATGGGGCAAGAGCAAGGATGAAGCCTTCTCAGATCCAGATACTGGAAGATTACCAGAAACTCACCAAGAGATGGCTGCAGCCACCAATGAGTCAACAAATCCTGATTAGGTCAACCCTCTTCACATATGATGAAATGTAGGCCTGTAAAACAATTTCTCCCATGTATATATATATATAATTGACTGGCTGCAGTTATGGGAATGAATATTTATCAGAATTTCAATACTTTTTTCTTCATTTTTAATCTCTTCTTTTGCTTTTTTTATATAATTTTTATTCTCAATGGTGGCATTTACATTATTTTTTAATTGAATTTAAGGGGGAAAAAAGTTGGTAAATAAAAATGTGTGTGACCATTCTTTCATTCATTAATTTAGATAAACAAAATAAAAGTATAATGATAAAAATATTAAAAATAATAGTTCTGTAATTTTTTTACTTTATTATTTTTTATTGTTAATTTTTAAAAGTATACTAGAAGGCCAAGCCCATAAAATATGATATTCAATTAGCCATAAGTTTCTAAGCCTACTTTATTTGGTAGCCCAATAATATTCTTCATGAAATTTTCTGTCCAACAGAAGAAAATACACACGGCACCGTTTTGGGCAAACGAAGAAGGAGGAAAGAGTGACGGATCAACACTCACATGTTTTTGAATTATATAAAACTTTTTTTAAGAAAATTGTACATTAAATCTTTGAAGTTTTACTAATCAATAAAATATGTACTACTAAATGTAACGACCTGTTTTCTTCGTTGAAAAAGAAACACTACTCTACATACATAACCTGATAAATTTATGCAGCAGTAAGCGAAAACTTAATATTTAATCATTCCCTATACGAAATTATAAGTCATGAGGCTTACAAGATTTTTTACATTACATTGCTATAATATAATTAAATTGACTTTAAAAAAAGAACTCTTACTGTCATTAAACGTTCTTCAAAGTCTTCCTTCGACCTTGAACTTGTTCTTGATATGGACTAATCTGCATTGGAGGATGTGAATTGGGGTAAGCTTCACGAACTCAGTAAGGAAAAGAGGCAGTGCCCATAACAAAGACATACATACACTCAATCACTAAATTTTCTAAATCAGTTTATTCAGTAAACATTCAGAATTTCTTATTTCAATATTATAACTCATGGCATAAATAGTTTCGTAAATAGCATAATTCAGTATTCAGTATCACAATTTAAGCAGTAAGCAGTTCAGTAGATATTAATTCAGTATTTCAATATCATAAACTTTACTCATGACTTCCTATTCCTTTCTATCAGTTTATATCTTATTAAAAATAGTTTCACCGCACGATGCCGTTTCTGCCAGCATCAACGAGGGCAATAAGGATCTCTTCTACCACGTGAATACATTATAATTCAGTTCACAGTTTATAATTTGTAGTACACAGTATACAGTTCACAGTCCTTATCGTTTCGCCACGTTTGGCTAAAACTATATCCACGGGTAAGATTCACCACAATCACACACTAAAAGGCTACACACACACTCATCCCTCAGTGATACTGATTAAACAGATTTTCTTGTCTTTTAAATATTCTTATGTTGTTCTTTTACTAATCAGGTTCACCACTAGATGATCTACTCAAGCAGGTACCTACTTATACATCATATATGTTATACATCAACATGTCTACACAATAAGTACAATAAATACACTTTATATGTATAATTATCAACTCAAATAAATATATATGTACACGCAACACATACAACATAAATATACTTGTATATTTACACAAGATGTATGTGTATTCGATACGCAAGCACATGTAAGTTGTTCACTCATACGTACATGACCTATAATAATACATATATATATGCATCATACACACCTATAACTCGATAACTAGTGTGCTGTAACGGTCCTGAAAATTCAAAAAGAAATACATATAACAATTTGAGTGCGGAAGCAAAATAAAAGATTAAGATTAACATCCCTTACACAATAACTTAAAAGTACTGAATAATATCACGGAATAAGTTGTCTAAAAAAAATAAGAGAAAGTGAGGAAAAAAAATAAAGAAAACTATAAAGCATCTAGCATCTACTCACCGTCTTCTTGTGGATCAGGCTCGGGAACCAGGTCCTTCTGATCTGAAATGGTTAAATAAGGAATGAGCTACACTAGCCTAGTAAAGACATCACACTACATCACTGTCACGGAAGTAAAGGTTGGTAAAAAATCAAAAACAACCAATGGAGCACAAATTTTAAAACAAACGTTTATTTAAAATAAAATCACTTATCCTTTTTCTTACCCTTGGAGAACCTATGAAAACAACTTATAAAGACAATGACATCATACAGATCACAATTCCATGCATAATCAGTAACATAAAACATATCATAAATATGTATTCATTAACAATAACTGATTATCACCGTTTCTCGTTTTCACCAGCCTACTAATATCCATAGGGATCCATAGGGGTGTCTCCGTTACACGTGAACCATTCTCTCTAACTATCTTAATTCTAGGGTCGTCCTCATACCCCGTCCGGTATGAGCGCCAAGACTTTAAACCTCAATACCCCGTCCGGTATGAGGATGAAGCGGGTTGTCGCCATACCCCGTCTGATATGAGTGCTAAATGACTAAGTCTCCATACCCCGTCCGGTATGAGGCAACGTTCACGGTAGGGTCCCCTATGAACCCGATCCGTCCACCATCTCACAGGATATCTAGTGAAGCTGTCATCTTATCCATTTATCAGATCACATCCCATTCCTATTTGTCCTTAAACTCCGTCACCAAATCAAACATAAATACATAAACAAGTAACGTGCATCTAACAATGCAATCATATCTTAGATTCCCAAAATCAAACAGTAGTGAAGTAAGCAGCAATACATGCATTTAAAATCATAAAATAGATAAATCATATACCATAATGCTTTTAAACTATAAAATAAATCAAACAGGAATCGACAAAGAATAATTTTCGGTTCGGGCTCCATTAGCAACCGTAATTAATTATGCATCTCTATTTAATTTGTACAAAATACAGTATTATCATTTATTCAAACTTTAATTTCATAATACAAAATAGGGTGAGGGGTCCTTACTTGATTTGATGCCGAAAACTAAATTGTCACTGCGATTATGGGCGGTCCCTGGGTTCCTTGAATTTTTTCTCGGGAACTGAAACGCGCTTACGGTACCTACACATGTCCCAAATAACCCAAAATTCAAACCCAGAGCCTACTCAGCCAATTTTGAAATTCTGGCACGGTGGCAATCCGCCTCAGGTTGGTTGTTTTTGGCCGTTTTCGGCTGAATTCAGCCAAACTTGCATCGGTTCCTATGAGAAAACACACTTAAGGCCCTCGGTGAGCCGGAAAAATGTGAAAAACCAAAACTCACTAAGGGTGGGGCTCTCCAATATGGCGGCTCCTCCGACTCACGTTGCGATTTGGTGTTTTGCTCCGGTCAACCTGTAGATGAAGAAACGATGATCACAACGGTGGAAAAATCACATTAAACGGGAATCGACAAGGGCCTCATCGGAGGTGAAAATCGAAACACCCCGCGGCAGTGCCACTAAGCTTCGGCAGCATTTTTCGGTCAATTGGCCGATATTTTCGCTCTGATTTGGCCGTAGGTGGGTTTAGAATCAAATTTTGAGCAAAGGGTAGAATTTTTACCTCGTTTGGCAGCCGAAAATTGCTCCGGTACGGCGGTGGGTAGCGGTGGTCGGCTCCCCGGCGGCTGGGCTGTCTTCTCTGGCGAGGGGTTCTGATGGCTAGGGTTAGGGTTTGGGTACGGATGAGATTATTTATACCCATCCACTTCTGATCTGAGTCGTCCATCACTTTTAATCTGGGCCGTCCAATCGCGATTAAATAGGAAATGAATCTGAACCGTTCATCGCGATTCAATTTGAGCCGTCCGTGCGCGATTCATTCTGGGCTATCCGTGCGCGATGCAATCTGGGCCGTCCGTGCGCGTTTTTGATCTGGGCTATCCATGCGCACGGGAACGGATCTCAGCCGTTCGATCGCGCGCACGTGGATCGCCCATGTGGCTCCCTCCCGCGTGGCCTCCTGCGTCAGCGTCTCTGCCACCTGGCGCATCCCGTTGGCCGGGGCTGCTGACCGAGCAGCTGACGCGGTACAACTTTTTTAAATTGTATTTTGACCCCATGTTTCCAATTTTTCTTTTAAAAATACCCCCAGAACCCAAATTTTCACCTTTTTTTCCAAAATTATTTTTAATTAAATCCCTAAATAATTTTTTACCCCTTTTTATTATTATTATTATTATTATTTCTACTAAAATAAATTAAATTAAATTAAATTCTATTAATACTTATTTATATTTATATAGAATAAATTAAAATAAAATATAATAATAATAAGAAATAGTTGGGTGTTACACATAAAATCTGCATATACATATAAGTAACAATATGAATACATAATTATACGTCATACACAACATCATGTAGGTCTCGAATCATACATAATTGCACACATGCACATATGATGAGTTCATAGAACTCGTTGTAGAAATGTGAACAGTTTGTAAAGTCCGTAAACAAATCATTTCAATGGAAAACAAGAATTCATAAAAACATCGGGTCTCTGAATGAGACTAACTCAATCCCTTACCTACAGTCGAATCGAAAAGTATCGGAATCTTTATTGGTTCGAGTTTACCATCATCTCTAAATTCTGGCTACTGTTTAGATAATTTTCTCGTTTATGAACAAAAATACATGAGTTAAAAGACGGACATTGTGAAAATAATTAGAATACAAAAAGAAGATTGAGTTTTACCGTAGTGTGATCTCGATCACCAGAATCACTACACGCCACCTTACACATGTCCTTGTTTTGCTACGCGTCACTATCAGACCACCATTGGCCACTGTACATCGCCACGAACCACCGCAAATCGATCAAAATTCACCACAAAACACTTCGCGCACTCAAATCCCATGCGTATATGGTGAAATCGCACCGAAAGAAGCCAAGGATAGGCAACCAACCATCACGAATCTCCTTCTTTTTAGGATGCATGTCGTCGCATGATTTTCCCTCTAGTTTCCAATCGCAGAGATCATCGGTCGCATCGT